TTGTCTTGGGTAGAGTGTTGTGGCATTATAGCTCATAGCAACTTCAAATTCTTGGGCTCAAGCCATCTCTTGCCCTAGCCTCCCAAGTAGCTGGGATTACGGGCACTAACTACAACACCTGGCTATTTTTAGAGATGGGGTCTTGCTCTTGCTCAGGCTGATCTCAAACTCCTGATCTTAAGCATACCACCCCCCTCCACCTCTCTCTCAGAGTTCTAGGATTACAGGCGTGAGCCACCATGCCTGGCCCTGGTGGCATTTCTTTGGCATCATCCCATCTCACCTTGTTCTCCTCCTAGCCCTCTGCTCCCTTCCCACTTGCCATTGCCTAGGGGCTGCACACAGCTGAACCCGGGAAGCTCATTTGACCCTGTTGGAAGCACTGAGGACTGCAGAAGTTTCCAGACATCTTTCTGAGTTTATTGTAGCTTCGGATGTTACATGCTGAATACAAAACCAAATGACTTGTGTTGGAAAGATTAAAATACCAATTAACAGACACTTTCAGTGGCTTTGATGTTTTTGCTAATTTCTTCATTTTTTTTCCCTCCTTTTTGTTTTCTTGTCTCCTTTTTTCCTCCACATTTTTGGCCATCAAGAGGTTGATAGATTCCTGACTATCAGACTTGTCCACCAGAAGTGAACTGTCAAGGCTGCTTTTCTGTCCTAAAACTGGGGAACTGTTTGGTGTCATGAAGGTCTTCTGCGGGCGGGCCAACCCTACCACGGGGTCCGTGGAGTGGCTGGAGGAGGATGAACACTATGATTACCACCAGGAGATTGCGAGGTAACAAGGATTGGTTCACGATGAGCTATAGCTGAATGGAGCATTTTTTGTCAAAGCAAATGCCTTGAAATCTACTCTGAGTGTGAACTAGTTTGTTACATTGCTTCCAGTCAGGACAGGTGTTGGTCTTAAGGATGTTTGCTCAGCAAGGTAGGTATATGTGGGAGTTAGACAAAGTCATTACTCTTTGATGTGTTGGACATCGTGTAGCAGCCTGACTGATGTCTCAGATGATCTGTAGCAGAGTAGAGAGGACCCAAGACTTAATAGTAATGGTTTATGAAATTTAATTGTGTCATTGAAATGGTGACAACATTTGTTATATGGTTAAATTCTCTTGAATGAGGAAAGTAAAAAATGCTTCTTTTCCTTGAAAGAAATGTTTTAAAGTATATGAGTTATTATTTTTATTTATTTATT